AGAGTTCCAGAAAAACATCTACTTCTGCTTCATTGACTACGCAAAAGCCTTTGACTGTGTGGACCACAGCAAACTATGGCAAGTCCTTAAAGAAATGGGAGTGCCTGACCACCTTATCTATCTCCTGAGAAATCTATACGTGGGACAGGAAGCAACAGTTAGAATTGGATATGGAAGAAGTGATTGGTTCAAAATTGGGAAAGGAGTATGACAAGGCTGTATTTAACTTATATGCAGAATACATCATGCGATAGGCTGGACTGGAGGAATCCCAAACCGGAATTAAGATTGCTGGAAGAAATATCAACAACCTCAGATATGCAGACAATACCACTCTGATGGCAGAAAGTAAGGAGTAATTAAGGAACCTTGTAATGAGGGTGAAAAAAGAGAGTGCAAAAATGGTCTGAAGCTCAACATCAAAAAAACTAAGATCATGGCCACTGGTCCGACCACCTCCTGGCAAATAGAAGGGGAAGATATGGAGGCAGTGACAGAGTTTACTTTCTTGGGCTCCATGATCACTGCAGGTGGTTGTCAGCAGCAATGAAATTAAAAGATGTCTGCTTCTTGGGAGGAAAGTGATGACAAACCTAGACAGCATCTTAAAAAGCAGAGACATCACCTTGCCAACAAAAGTCTGCATAGTCAAGGCTATGGTTTTTCCAGTAGCAATGTATGGAAGTGAGAGCTGGACCATAAAGAAGGCTGACCACTGCAGAATCGATGCTTTTGAATGTGGTACTGGAGGGAACTCTTGAGAGTCCCCTGGACTGCAGGGAGAACAAACCTATCCATTCTAAAGGAAATCAACCCTGAGTGCTCACTGGAACGATTCTTGTCCTTTGATTACATCTGCCGTTGCTGGATATCTATTGGAAATTTCTATTTTAACCCATAATCTATGATATTCCCCGTTGCTTTGAGAGTATTTTTCACCTTACTTTTCCCTTTGATTATTGTTTGTTTGTACCTATGTTTTCCTGTCGTCTGTTCATATGCCAATAAAGGCATCGAAATCGAATCGGAAGGACACATCCTGAAGCTGAGGCTCCAATACTTTGGCCATCTCATGAGAAGAGAAATTTCCCTGGAAAAGACCCTGATGATGGGAAAGTGTGACGACAAGAGGAGAAGGGGACGACAGAGGATGAGATGGTTGGACAGTGTCATCGAAGCTGCCAACATGAATTTGGCCCAACTCCGGGAGGCAGTGGAAGACAGGAGAAACTGGCGTGCTCTGGTCCATGAGGTCACAAAGTGTCAGACACGACTTAACAACTAAACAGTAACAAAGGGTCCCTCACACATGCTTCTGGTATTGTGAAAGACCATAAAAGAAAGCCTTGATTCAAAGTTCACACCTTTATCTCTTCCTCAAGTTGTCTCTTCAGTTCTTCAACTTGTTGAGTAAAAGCTTGCTTGCCTCTGGAAAGCTGGGAGATCAAACTGTCCCTTTCATCTACCTGTCGCGAGTATTCACCTGAAACAAGAATGTACCATAGCATTTGATAATTATGTTAGTATAATTTGTGAGAGTTTTCATTTATTCATCTTCTTTCACTCATGTGATCAGTTCAAGTTTAATACATATATCTTAATAATTATTAGTATCTATTATTATTAGTATTTATTATTATTATTATTTATTGATGATGATGATGATGATGATGATGTAACATCCTGCCAATTCTGACTTATGGCAACCACCTGCATTGTTTTCTGGTTACAGAATACACATAAGAGATTTACCATTCTCTTCTTCTGGGGGTATCCTGGGATTGTGCAACTTGACTACACAGGCTGGATCTTCTCCCAGGAGGCACACTAGGAAATTGACTTCCCAACCTCTGGCCCAAAGCCAGATATCTAAACCACTGAACTATTCAGTCAGCTAAATATTTAATTAAGCAATTCTTTTACATAGTCAAGGAGGCATATAAAGTAGGAGAAAAGATTGCTGTGTTTTTCAGAATCAGTAATATCCTCACAGAACTTTCAGAGTTCCTATTAGTTACTTGACCCATTTACCTGCTTCAGTCTGTAGGCGACCTCTTTGAGCATTCAGGTCATTAATCGTACGCTGATGCTCTTCGTCCTTTGTTTTAAACTCACTAAGCTGGTCTTCCAGGGTGCGGCACATTTTTTCAAGATTGGCCTAAATGTGTACAGGAATGAAAGAATAATGTGAGTTGATTTGTTCCACTAATAGAAGATGATTGGACAAACTGGTGAACCTCACTTCATCACTGCAAATAGAACAATGTCCTCCATCTCATGTGAGGGTAAGGAATGAGATGTGCCGTTTGGATTTTATGGGCTCCACCTCTCAGAATTCTCCAATAATTCCCCAGAAAGAAACACCACCATTTTACTTAACTGGAGAACAGCATACCCTAAAGGTCCATGTAGTTTCCCGTTTAAAAAGAAAATTGCCCTCATGTTGCCTAGGTGGAGGCACCCACCACAGAGTCTAATGAGCAGCAAGACAACATCAATCTAAAATGTTGTTGTGGGTTTTTTGGGCTCTTTGGCCATGTTCTGAAGGTTATTCTTCCTGACATTTCACCAGTCTCTGCGGCCGGCATCTTCAGAGGACTGGAGTAGGAACTCTGTCCATGCTCCGTTGGTGTTTGTTGGATAGTATTTATAGCTGTGGGGACGGCTTTTGTCTTTTTTTTTTCAGGAGATAGGGTGATCAGCATGTTTTTGTTATGATGAGGGAGGGGGGGAGAGGGAGAGATTATCTGTCAGTGTGGTTGATTAGATCCCGGACGTGAAAGCCTTCGCGTATTCATTAAATCTAAAATGTCTTTTGTGCAGAGGCATTCCCATTAAAAGCTCAAACCATGTTGAAACACATCAACAATCACAATGGACAGAATCTAATCCAATATAACATTGTATAAATGTCTCTCAGGCATCTTTGTTTCCAATTTTTAAATGGCAGCAACATACCTTTGATTTGGAGACAGACTCCATGTTGCTAGCAAGGTCATCAATCTCCATCTTCAGCTCACTCTTCTCTTTCTCCAGCTTCTGTTTCACTCGCTGAAGGTTATCGATTTGTTCCCCAAGTTCAGCTACACTGTCTGCGTGCTTCTTGCGAAGGGCAGCGGCAGTGGCTTCATGCTGCAGAGTGGCCTCTTCAAGGTCGCGGCGCATTTTCTGGAATTCAGCCTCACGCTTCTTGTTCATCTCAATCTGAGCTGCTGTTGCCCCACCAGCTTCCTCCAGACGCTCACTGATTTCCTC